ACCACCACCACACCACACAACAACACACATGTATATATATTTATTATATATATATATATATATATATATAGGTGGAGCGCTCGATATTTTTATTATTTGTAAACTAGCGAGAATCCCAGACAGCTAGTGGGCCTACATTGGGCGCCTCATTCCAGTGACCATCGTTGATCAGCTGATATTCGTTACTTGTTAATGCATTCCTAAGGTCGAGCTTGCCTGTGGTGCACATCACCGCTTTTGCCACGAGCTATGTGTGCGTACATATCATCCCGAGAGCCGTGTATGGTAGCTCTGAGTAACTACCTATCATTCTGGGAGTTGCGTATGGTAACTCTGAGTGTTCCCCTATCATTCTGTGAGTTGTACATGGTAACTTCTGAGTGTTCCCCTATCATTCTGTGAGTTGTGCATGGTAACTTCTGAGTGTTTACCTATTGAGTTGCGTTTGGTAACTCTAGATTAATTACCTATCATTCTGGGAGTTGCGTATGAGAACTCGGAGTGTTTACCTATCACTCTGGGAGAGGCTGATGGTGTATAAAATATTCCGCAAGCCAGGGTACATCGCCCCATCCTCCAAAACCCAAATTCCACAAGTACCCTTCACGTTCACCAGGTCACCGTATAAATCAAACCAGCATTCTCAAGTAGAGCGAAGGGTAGAGATTCCTCGGTCTCTCATTCCCCCTACCTCCCTGCACTAGCACTACCAACGCCACCACCAAGATTCGAACTTAGGGATCGATGGCAGATCCCCACTTCTTTGGAACGCTGCATAGGTATGAGTACGACAGTAATGTAGGTGCGCACATCGCAAGTAGACAGTCATCGGTATAAAAAGTTATCCAGCAGATACCCATCCGGGTCTGTTAAAGGTGGATGATACTTAATAGGCGTCAGAAGTGGGGAGTTGAACATCCCGTCAAATGTAGTGAGGTAACCAGTTACCTCAGATGAGGTGTACCGGACAATTGCTGTCTGGTATGCCTTCTCCCATATCCGGATGAACAGACCACACTGAGACTACAACCGTCCCCAGCCCAGCCCCATGCTCAGGGTTAAGCGCCAGTATAACCAGTACATTTGTGCTGTCTAGTTGATCCGCATTGAGTTGTACATGCGATATTAGAAGGTAAAATGCTACCAAGACTTGCACGTATTTGCATGTATATGCACAAGTATAGTGTCCCCAAACTCAGATAAAATGGTACTACTACCACTACCAACCTAGCCCGGACCTCGGTTTTGATAGCCGGTGCAACCACTACCATGCTATGCACAAATACATCAAAGATCGACGTCAATGTATAAAACTCTGTTGCATCATCCGGATGTTAGTTGTGTCTACACTTTCAAAGGTCTAGGGCTCTACAAATAAATATGTGGCGGCGTCTTGTGCTCCCAAACCAGGATGAATTGCCCATATCATAGCTACTGTCACCACCCTCACCCGCACTCCAGCACGTACGTCTCGTAAACATTGCTGCTTGTCGTAGGTATTTACGCTCCCAGAGTTTAGGGTTCTATAAAAAGATGCTTAGCGGCGTCTTGTGCCCCCAAACCCGGATGAACTGCCCATACTAGAGCTACCACCACCACCACCGCCAAAACCACTACCACCACCACCCCCGCCCCATCCCGAACCTCGGGGGCGATAGCCTTGGCCATAGCCTGCACTACCGTAGCCACCGCCATACCCTCGGCGTCCGCCTCCCATGCTGCCGATGAATGTAGAATATACGTTAGGGTTCTAGAGTTTAAGGTTTAGGGTTTAGTGTATAGGGTTCCATGATTTAGTGGAGTAGAATTTGATGTGAAGATGTTGGTAGATGAATACTTGTAGTGTTGCGGATAAATGTATATAGTAATGTATAACAGTAAATTAGAGGTATACAATTAGTTATATAGGTTTGATGGTTGAACAATATAGTTGTACATATTTTTATATGTTACTGCACATATTTGATGCTGTGGGTAAGTAAGTGTATGTTGAAGGCAAGAGTGCTCGGTTACTTGGTGGTAGGTTATTTTGATGAAGACATGTGCATAGGTGTCAGGACAAGTACTTGTTTTTGAATATATTCTTATCAAACATATACAATAAATGTATACGTACATTATACATACATACATACGTAAGATTTTAATTTACATATACATACCTCAGCAGATGCATATTATAGAACATCTATGAATTCAAAGATACATGTTCCAGTACTTATAGAGCAAAAGCAAAACGTAAGATACTTACAACATGTTCATCAGCATCGCAGTCGCCGCGCCTGTTCCAGCCCCTATTAGAACGTAACAAAATGAAACTCATTTCAGTAAGTGTGAATTAATTGTAAGTCACTTCAAGCTGTACATGTATTTAAGACATGCACCAAACTTCGATAGAGATTAAATTTACTAAGAC